ACCAGCCTTGTCGCGACGTCCACCAGACTGCTAACGAGGCTCCGCCGAGCCCTCAATTCTGGCAGCTCCTCGTCCTCGTGGATAACTGTCACAGGGGCGGGTTCTCCGACTTCGTCGGGCGGCACAGTGACGACAGTTGGAGGGACAGAAGGTTCCATATACGCCACTTCTGGAACGCCAGGCGCTGGACCTGCAACTGGTTGTTCTGGAAGCTGCGGCAAGGTAGGTTGTATCGGTGGAGGCTCATCAGGTTGTGGCTGAGTCGGTTGTTGGACAGGTTCTTCTTCTTCCACTTGCTCTTCAATACCTGGCTGCACCTGGGTAGGGGCCTCGGGAGGAGGCATCTCCTTCCGGACAAATTCCTTCCGAGTCTTCCTTGCACGAGTTACCGGCCTCTTCACGGATTCTTCTGGCTCTCCATCGGCACCTGGCTCCTCTGGTTGTTTTTCAGGTGGAACTTCCGCTTTTGGTTTACGCCTCGGTCTTGGCACGGGAATTTGCGTAGGCATTTGTGGCAGAGGTATTTCTTTCGCAGGTCCCCCTGGCTGCAAAACTACCTGTTCCTGTGAAGGCTCCTCTTCTATAACAGGCTTTTCTTCCTCTTCTTCTGCTTCTTCTTTTCCTTCTTCCTCTTTCGGTTGGGGTTCCTCTCGGGGAGGTATAACTTCTTCTTCAACCTTCTTTTTGCTCTCTCGCCGCCTGCGAAGTACAATTGCCCTTATTAAGATTAAGAAAAGCACAATGAAAGCAACTACGTGGCGTCGATTCTTTGTAAGAAGTACTGACCCCAGCCGGGTGTCCGTTATTTCCTGCTGGGCAGCCAGTTCTGCATGCAATTTAGCCATCGTATCGCCTGCGAGTTCTCCGGCGGCTTCCAATTCTGTGTCCTCCTCGGCGGCCTTTTTTCTTGATGCCCCTGATGAGTACACATTCTGCTGCTGCACAAGCCAGAGCGCCACGAACAGCCAAAAACGCCAGAAACATCCGCGTAAGCCAGGAATATATGAAAACTGCTTCTTGCTCTTCATTTCTGCAATGACGCCAGTCACACGGAGGAGCGTCCAACGCAGCAAGCCCACGAACGAGTAGATGCCAATGTGCCCCTCCTAGGCTGCTCGCTTAGAGGGAGGTCGATTTGCTGAGAACCCCCAATACATTTCGAGAATAAATGAATGGTTCGGAAGCAGATCGTGCCGAAATAATGCTATTTTTCAAGTGAATAACGCCCCCAAAATGCGCAGAGAATGGTAAGGAAGAAAGGGGACAGCCGAAGAGCCAACCTGCAACTTGGCGATGTAACTTATGTGGGCCTCACGAAGTTCTCTCTCACAAGCGAATGACGGAGAAAACAATTGCTTATGGCCATTAAAAACGAGAAGTAATTTGACAGAATTTGTTTTTAGACTCGAAACTTGCCAATTCTCGAGTGCTGCATCTCTCGGGCTTACCGCTCACGAGACGATCGCAGCATCAGACGATCCCAGCGCCGCCGGTCGCCGAAGGTGTAGATCCAAAGGATCCTTGCCTTTTAAGAGTTTGAAAGACCAGTTGCTTGAGTTTTAGTCGCTACGATAGCAGAATAAGTTGGCCCGTTCCACAATATTCACCCCAGTCCGCGTATTCCCTAGTTCCTGTCGCTGGTGCGTGTGGTTCTGCTGATGCGCGAGAGGCCCGCTGACGAAAAAGTAAGTGTTAAACA